GACGAGATCGCTCAGTGTCCTTGACTATCACCTGCCGATGCCACCAGGAAGCTTACACCATGCTCTCACTCCGCCCTTCCTTGGGCACGTTGAGCCTGTTCAACGTCGCAGCGCTTGCGCATAGCTCGCAGGATTGCAGCGGAGATCGAAGAGGAGGAAGGGAGAGGACATGCCAATTTATAGTGAAGAAGGTGGCAGGGTGGCAGCCTGAAACGAGGGAGACTGAAGATAGGGGAGAGAGAGAGAGAGAGAGAGAGAGAGAGAGAGAGAGAGAGAGAGAGAGAGAGAGAGAGAGAGAGAGAGAGAAATTGAATTGTCATTTTTTGGCCCAAAATTCATGAAGTTGAGGGTATGGCATTCTGAAAACGCCCTACCCGCTCAATGTATCTGGACTTAGATGAAGTCCACATGCCACATACATTCAAGGAGTCCAGAGTTTTCCGGCCTGGATGTATGTGGACTCAGCTAAGTCCAGATACACCGAGGTGGTAAGGCGTTTTCATAACGATGTACCCTCAATTTCAGAAACTTTGGGCCAAAAAAAGAGATTTCAATTTCATTTAAAACATATCCATTTTAATGAAATCACTGTTGGAGGGAGGAAGTCGTAGGAAAACGAAGAGCTACACGCATGTGACGTTCTAACCTCACGCCCTGCGCTGTCTTCCGGTCAGAGTGAAAAAAAATGCGGAAAAAGGCCCTGAAAGATCAGCAAAATGGGGTGTGGCGAGGATTTTTGGAAAATTCAGTGTGGAAACACAGACAAAACTGAAATCTCCCATGTGGTCCTAGTGTTTGCGAGAAAGGGCAATCACCGCGTGGGAAAGGAAATGGGCGTGTGCAATTTCCGGACGTCTATGTAATCCAAAAAGTATATTTGAGCCTCCATAAGGGCTACTCGACGCCTTTTCGAACGGAAAGGTGGGGGTACGCACGTGGGATCTTGTTTTCGAATTAAGACTCATCCGCTCACTGCAGAGTTCAAAATCTGACGTCGAGGGCTGCAACTGGGTAACGCTTTCTTTTGAGCTCGTCCTCGCCCCGTGTCTGGTAGTGAAACCCCCTTTCCTGATAACGCTCAGTGCGGCAACAATCATTGCAGAGAGTATTGAGCGAATGGGGTGCCACCACCATCCACGGAATGACACAACTCGTTGAAGGGCAATAATAATGAATAAGGCGGAAAATGAGTATCGACTATCAAAAACCCAACACCCACGAACCTTGAACACCTCGTTTCAAAAGGGAAATAGTAACGCCATCCGATTCGTGACGGTTTCTCGTACGTCCCTCTCGCATACCCGTGGCCTTTCCTCGTTATACGGGAGCGGGCGCTGTGGGAGTACGGGAAGTCGGCGCCCAGACAGGTAAGTCGAATCAGTCCGCATGGCATAGGCTGGCTAGAGGCGTGAGTCTATGTAATCAGTCATTCGAACAAATCAAAGATTCAACCGCCAGTCATTTATTATGGGCAAAGAGAAAACAAAAACAAGGGTAAGTGAACCATGCATAAAAAAAAAAAAAAAAAACATGCATAAAAAGAAAATACATCAAGGTCTTACTTATTCATGTTATCAAAACAGTCGTTCGGTCAATGCATGCATGAAGGTGTTTCTCTCCCAACTTGTTTTTTGTGCTCCGGTGAGTTGGCTCGACAAAACTTGAGCATCAAAGACAAGTAGGGGCAAAATTTCATGCATACATCAATCATCATCACAAAAACGCGTCATTCATTACGCACAAAGGAGTGGAGAGAGAAAGGCAAGGCCAATCGATTTCGCTGGCGTCTGAAGTTCAACAATGCTCATCCCCATGAAATCCAATTGAACATAAAGAGACGGGCGGGGTGAATCGATTTCGCTGGCCTCTGAAGTTCAACGATGCTCATCCCCATGAAATCCAATGGAACATAAAGAGACGAGCGGGGTG